CATCACTATAATATAATTTACAAAACTGCACTATTCTTTCGCACTTATAAAAATAAGTCCAGTGATCACAACTTTTTTAAAAATACTGAAAACAATTCAAAACAATATTTCACACACACTTATCACACGTTTCTATTTCTTTTACACTAAGCCCCGCAATTAATTTCCCGAGTACAGCGACTTACGCCACTTTCAAAATAAACATGTTTGTTATACCGTTAATTAGCAAAACTTCTCTCGATCAAATCTCATTAGTTCTCAACTTATTGATTGCAAATTTTTTTAAAATGAAAAGATACCGTTCAATTGTGATTAGTGTTACCATTAACTCGATTTTTTTGAAAAAGTGACTTATGCCCCTTTCAAACTAAACGGCTCAATTTTGCATTGAGACGCTGTTTGAACAGCTTGTTTACTTGTCACGTTCGAGGAGGTTGAGTATTTTGGAGATGAAACGATTTTCGGAAGTACTTACTCGGTCTCGGAAACGGAACCGGCCTCGCAGTGGTTCCTCGGCGGCACGGTCTTCCATTTGCTGGCCAAGGCCACCATGGCACCAGCGTCTAGAACCCCGTAGCCGAACAGATGGTTGAACTCGAGACCGACTCCGTTCATCGTCCAGTGGAATCTCCCTTTGGCATCGAACAGCGAGTTCCTTTTCGACGTGAGCACAGTCAGATGCTGGATGTCCCTCCAAGTCAACTGAGGACTGCAAAAGAGATTCATCGATTCGATCTCTTTCGAGCTGCGATACCGAGTCCTTATCGAGACACCTACTATTTGATCCGGATTCTAGGCGAGGAAATTGTATGGAGATCGAATGGATTCCAGAATCGAGGTAAATCGAGACTTTTCCGATTCGAAGGAAGGATTAACTCGGAATTCTGAAATTTTTTTTAGAGATGGAAAGAAACAGGCAGATTATATATAGAAATATTTATAAGAAAATTGACGAAGTTTGACTTGAAACTACGCGTTCTGGAAATATTAGTATTAAATTCGGAATGTTATTAATTTATATATTTATATTTATATTGAAATATAAAACTGGCAGAATATTGGATAAATTCTGAAACACGGGATTCAACGAGAATTTGTGTATGATTTTAATTTGCTGAAATTGATCACGAGGGAAATAATATTTTAGCAGAGCAGTGTTTGGTTTCCGAAATGTACCGCGCATTCGCAAATTAACTGCGGATTTTAATCCACTTTGCCTTACATACGAGATTCTCTGAAAAATGATGACACATGAGACGGAGCATAATTTAATACAGCTTCACCGTGTACGTAGCTTCTCGGTTTGTTAAAACGTATAATAGAGAAGATAAAGTTTCATCGAGCGAGTCTTAAATTTCTTCGTGAACGTACATTGAAACTCCGCCAAATTGAGGATTATCGCAGATAAATATCCAGGAAATTAGACAAAAATTCTTTTCACCAGAAACAAAGAAAATCTTTTGACGCTGTAAAATATTTCTTTTGAACCGTGAATTTTTATGTATTTATGGCTAGCAGCATTAGTTCGGAGATAACAAGATTTTACTTTACAATTTTTTTCATGAAGATGCAACAGTGATTTTCACCGGACTGAAAATCCTTTTTGCAGAAAAATCTCCAGGAAATTACATCAAACATGAAATACAAAAAAATAAACAAAGGAAAACAAATATTTTATTTACAAGAGAGAAAGAAAATCTTGATACTGTAGAATACTTTTTCTTCGACTGTGAAGTTTTTTCATCCATGGCTGACGACATAGTTCAGAAATAATAGGATTTTGCAGAACATGCACAATTGAATTTGCGGAATGATTATACAGCTGGAGTTCACTGGGAACGGATTGTCGAGCCGAGCCACTGAAAAATTGCATTCCTAGCAGAACAGGAAAGCTAGACAGCTCAACAATTTAGCGAGTTGAAGCTTCGCGAATGATTCACGGCGTGTGACAACGGTGTTCCATTGTTCGTTTCCAACGACAGTAAATTTCGCTTGTCCCAACCAGTTCCGGGGGTACAATCGCGAAAATTGAGTTTCAGCTACCCCGCAGCAACTAATTTTCCATTGCATAATGCAATTATTACTGGCGCGTTTCTGCGACGCTTCCTTTGTTCGCGATTTTTAGACAGCGGATCTTTGCGCGACGTTAATAAGCAAAATTCATATGAAAGATTAATATACAGGATATACGAGGTGTCCTAAAATCATGGTACTTCAGGGAAATTAGAGATTACTAAGGTCATTCAAAGCAACTTTTTCCTTTACAAAAATTTTCTCCACGGCATCGTTAACGAGTTATTGACGAAAAACAGTAACCAATGAGAGACGAGCTCGGCTGGCGCGAAGCGGCCCAGCCAATGAGCGCGCGAAGCCCAGTTCCGCTCATTGGCTCGGCCACCTAGCGCCCTCGAGCGGCGCCCGATCGAGCTCATCCCTCATTGGTCAGTGTTTTTCATTAATAATTCGTTAACGATGCCTCGGAGAATATCTTTGTAAAGGAAAAAGTTACTTCTAATCACCTCAGGAACTCCTCATTTTTCGGAAATACCATAATTTTAGGACACGCTGTATATGCAAAATTAATATGCAAGGTTAATATACAAAATTAATATGCAAGGTTAATATGCGAAATTAATATGCAAAACATACAGGGTGTCCCAAAATTATGGTATTTTCGAGAAATGAGGGATTCCTGAGGTGATTTCAAGCAACTTTTTCCTTTACAAAAATATTCTCCGAGGCATCGTTAACGATTTATTAATGAAAAACACTGACCAATGAGGGATGAGCTCGACCGGGCGCCGCTCGGGGGCGCTAGGCGACCGAGTCAATGAACGAAACCGAGCTTTGTGCGCTCGTTGGCTCAGTCGCCGCACGCCAGCCGAGCTCGCCTCTCATTGGTCACTGTTTTCGGTTAATTACTCGTAAACGAAACCGCGGATTGCAATTTCGCTAAGGAAAAAGTTACTTCAAATGATCTCAGGAATCCCTTATTTCTCTCAAATACCATAATTTTAGGACACTGCATATGCAAAATATATGTGCAAAATTAATGTGCAAAATATATGCGAAATATATACGAAATAGTGGATATTATTTATTGTAATTTGCATTATAATATGCAATTTGCATACAATATGCAACTATAATTTGTTATATATTATCTTCTATTATTAAAACCAAATATTATTATTAAAAATTACCTAGTCTCATTTGAAAATATAACGGTGATCTTGTATTTGATCGAAAACCAATGTGTTTTTAAAGTTGAACAATTACAATTTCTTGTCGGTTAAATACTAATTATAACTTTTGATAGGACTTTTTTATCAAGCCATTGGAAGGGGCTGGAAAATCGTGGGGAGTAATTTATGACTCACCCTGTATATAGTATTATATGCAAGATGCAAAATGTGGAAGATAAAATCAATATTTTTAGAATTCTGTAACGACGAAACAGTTTTCAATCCAAGGCCTATCCATTTACCCGTATTCCAAAAAAATGTGCATTTGCATAAAGATCCGCTGTCCAGTGACTTTGAAATTTTCACGTCGCACGATCCAGCGAGAAAAATGAAACAAGCGCCGGCGAGTGGAAGATGGTTAATGGGACTCGTCCCTGGGCTTTTGAAATCTCGTCAAACTCGGTCGGTGGAACGTGACCCAGAAATGGAGATGTAACATAAAAAGGCCAAGTGTCCCTGTGCATTGGACGTTCCGCGGCGTTTAGCGTTGCCTAATTCACCAGCAAACGTGGCTATTTCCGAGCCGTTTTAACCTTTACATCTTTTCAAACTTGAAATTGTATCATTTCCAATTCGCATCATGCATGTTCATGCGAACATGAATTTTGATGAACGCGAAAACATTTTCCGGAAAGAATTTCCTAAGGTCAGCAGTTCAGTTAACTTCAACATTTGCAACTTTGCAATTTGTTTTTTATGAGAGACACTGAAAAAGTTATAACAAAAATTTAATTTCTTATTATTTTATTTATGCCTTGTTAGGTTACTAACCAGTATATTCGTCATAACACGTAATATTACCATTTCTCCGCGACGAGTATACTTGTCACAGTACAAAAATATTGTCATTTCATCATGACGAGTGTACTCGTCATAATATAAAATATTGCCATTTTTTCACGACGAGTATACTAATCATAGTACAAAATATTGTCATTTCTTCATGACGAGTGTACTCGTTATAATATAAAATATTGCCATTTTTCACGACGAGTGTACTCGTCATAATACAAAATGTTGTCATTTCTTCACGACGAGTATTCTCATCATAAAACGAAATATTGTCACTTCTTCACGACGAGAATTCTCGTCATAGTACAAAATATTGCCATTTCTTTATGACGAGTGTACTCGTCACGGTACAAAATATTGCCATTTCTTTATGACGAGTGTACTCGTCACGGTACAAAATATTGCCATTTCTTTATGACGAGTGTACTCGTCACGGTACAAAATATTGCCATTTCTTCACAAGTGTACTCGTTATAACACAAAATGTTGTCATTTTCCCACGACGAGTATACTCGTCAATAACAGCTAACTGGTTACGAAGGATATTGTATACTTTGACATTCTTCATTAAATTGTGTATTTTATAAAAGTGTTGCATTTAACATACAAATCGTCAAAATGACTGGTTTCTGATTTTTGCTTCATCAATTGCTGATAAAAATGTTAAATATATAAAAATGTTTTTACTTTGTTCTGTTAGAAATTTTTGTACGAACTTCCTCATTCAAGTACATATTACAATAAAGATCGTAGAAAGTTTAAATAAATCGAATCCTGTCGATATTATAAAACAGTATACATTGTTATACATTATACATGAACGTTAAACAACATACGAATAAAATCGAACATATACAGTGTAACTTACACTGTTTTCAAAGTGACTGCCAGCTGGTTAATCGAGAGATTGAATTCATTTAGTTATTATTGCATCTGTCCAACGTCAGCTTGCTCGAGCATTCGCAATTTAGTTGCAATTAACATCGAATGCGAGCGTAACTATGTTTTGTATAATACAGACCAATATAGGTGTTTAGTGCATCGATGTAGATTAGAGAATTAATTGTTTTGAATATTGAATGGTAGGCAGTGGGGCACAGTGGTGGGTCCAGGTATATCTCGTTTCTCGTTCACAGCCAACAAGTCGACGATATATCATGCGGGCGCCAGTGAATTCCAATGCGCATGGTTCACGAAACAATCCATTTTATATCCCGATGCACATTCTCGGTCTACTGACGCAGAAAATCCTGTTTACAGTGTTAAACATCAAACAATGGAGAATTCAATAGTACGTCCGATAATATCTCGTTGCCGCTCATTAACGTTGCCGCATATTAATTCCAGCGAATGAGAAGGATTGATGAATTTTGTTTTAACCTTTTAGGCACGACGCGCCACTATAGTGGCTTTCGCGGATGTCATCTCTCTGGACGACGCGCCACAATAGTGGCTTGCTCTAGTAGCTCACTCGCTCATCGTTTGAACCAAATAATTGTCTTCAAATGCATTGTTTCACACTTCTTTTGTCTTCACATCGATTTACAACAGTCTACAGGGTGTCCCAAATATGTCTGGCAATCCGGAAATGGCGGGTTCCTCGGATCATTTGAAGCAACTTCGTCCTTTACAAAAATTTTCTCCGAGGCACCGTTAACGAGTTATCAACGAA